GAAGAAATATAGATTAAGTTAAACTAAATTAAATTAATATGATATACATACATTGGGCGATAAAGTTAATTTAATTTACATAAGTTGAACAACAAAGTGACCTGGATATCAATAGATTAAATAGTGACAGACTTATTACAGAAAATTAATCAAACGATACAAAAAACTTGGTTTTAAATGTTTTTCACAGTACTTAACAATTATGAGAACAAACACTTCAAATTATAGTCTTATTAGAAGACGTGAGCAGCCGAAAGGAAAAATCTGACCTGTGAACAGCAAAATGATGTGCGATGAAGAATTGCAGGCGACGTGATTCCACAGCGATGAGCGGGCGAAGAGAAAACAACTTCGTAATCCGGCGGGGTACTCGTAAATTGTAACTTCGATTACAAATCGAGATCAAAAAGAATTAGACAAACGCGTTCGTCCACTCTCCAATACTAACTGGCCAGCTGGACCCCGAGACCCTTTTTTTTGTTTTTCGTCTCCATGGATATTTGAAAAAATGAACAAAATTAAAAAAAAATGAATAAAATTCTCTCCGGCGTAAACATACCAAATTGTGATTTGATTTTTACAATTTACAAATTTTCGACGTCGATGGAATAAAATAAATAATAAGATCAAAAATAAGTTGATAGTTGGAATTGATAATTTGGCAATGAATTATATTTTATTTACCCATATTACTATTCCACAAATATTACATATTTTAGCGATATTATCAACGAAAATAATGCGATTTTTCGTTTTATTCAATTTAAACCAACTTTCAATGTAAATAGCAAAAAGAAATTTAAAAAGAAAATAGAAGATTAGCAAGATTCTTTGTTTGTAAAGTTAATTATTAAGTTAATAATTAATTTTCAAAGTCTATGGAATAAAATAAATAGTAAGATAAAAAAATAAGCTGATAATTGGAATTGATAATTTGGCAACGGATTATATTTTATTTACCCATATTCTTATTCTAGATGTATTACATATTCTATCGCTATCATCAATTTTTCGTTCTATTTAATTTAAACGAACTTTCCACTTCATTAAAAAAAGATAAGAAAAAAGAAATTAGAAGATTAGCCAGATTTTTGTTAGCAAAATGACGGAGTTTCGTGGAAATAAAGGAAGTAACAAACCAAAAGCAGATTTTTTAAACTTTGAAATTGAATATTTATATAGTTTTTGTTTGATTAATTGAAGAGAACTTAGACTTTTAATTTTAAGAAGATTAGAAGATTTCCGTATTTCATCGATAATCACTTCATCAATAATAGGGTAGTTAGCAGGAAATAAAGAAAGGCGTCAAAAATATGTAAAAACAAACCCTCATACCAAAAAGTTTCATTATGTTTTCTTCTTTCATTTGTATTTAGTTTTTTCATTTTTATTTTCTGGAAATGGTAAGGATAATAAACTCAACAGATTATAAACTTCCCAAAGCCATGAAGAAGGGAGTCGGGAAGATGGCCCCAAAATGCATACCGGAAAAATAAAAAGAATAAAAAAGAAAAAGGGTTTTGAGTTCATTATCCTCGCCCTTCCAGAAAATTTTCTTTCAACTTTGAACTGTATTTAATATATAGTTTACACATGGAAAACTTAATTTGAGAAGAAATATCATAATAAAAGTTTACGTACGGAATGAATAACATGACGCGTTTTCTTTATTAATATTATTGTTTATATCACGCCTTAAGTACGTCAGACACATTTATATTTAATTAAGATAAACTTTCAACATTAATTCCATTATGTTTATTGACCTAACTGACCAAGTTACTTCTTTCAATTAATTTTATCTAAGGTGTTGATTGAGATGAAAATTTTAATTTCAATATTAGTGTATATAAAGTGAAGCATTTGTACGACAAAGAGTAAAGCGTAAAAACTGATCTTTCCTACTTCTTCCTCATAAGCAAAATATTTTTTTAATGTTTTTCCATTTTTTCCTAACCATCCCTAATCGTTAAGTTTTGTAACATTTTATTAAAACATTCTGTTTAATTTCGAAGGTTCTAATTGTTATTCTTTGGTAGGAACGTGTTCGTGTGACTAATGAGGAATGACGATATTATCGTGTATCGTCACAAACAGATCTTTCATACCAAAAATGTAGACTCTCAAACTTTATTATTAAACTATTGTTTATCGGTAAAATCTCCAAATTGAGAGCACTTATAAAATCAAAAATCATTTTTAATTTTGATTTAAAAATTTAACACTGAAATATACTCTCTTTACTCCCATTGACATCATCAATGACGGGAATAAATGTGTTCAGGTCCACTTTAATTTAATACCGGCAGTTAATCATTTTGAGCATAATTAAGGAAATCCCTTTTTGGCTAAGACGGTCAGGTTTCGTGCGTCACCTGTCCAACGAATACCCCGATGAGACTCCAAGTGGACACCACATTTAAAGTAAATGTGTCAAAAGAACTGGGATTATAAGAGAAAGCGAGAAAAGTTTATTGTTTGACTATTTTTAGAACTTTTTAAAAAACTTTAATTTGGAATATGTCGACTAAATATCGCTTTTCTTTTTTGGAAAGCAAAACAGGCGTTGTATATTGTCAACAACAATGACAAAATAGGACATGTATTAGTAGTGTGGTTTTTAGACCAAATTAAATAAGTTTAGGCAGGTTGTGCTAAAAGTAAATACAATTTATATTTTTGTGCGACGTTCCTTTTCTGAAAATATTTTGTTCATGACTACGGGCGAACCGAAACGTCGCACAAAAATATTATTTTATTTACAAAAACCAACACGATGTGATCTAAAATAAAATAAAAATGACCTATAATTTAAAATAACAAACAAACAAAAAAAAACATAATTTTTTCTTAGATGAAATCCCAACAAATAAACTTTGCAGAATATATTGAGGTTTTACAAAAAATTATTACAAATTTGAGTGGTTCCAAAATTTACAGTTTTCACTCTTTCAAAAAAGTATATTTTCACGTAGGTCAAAATATTGACTAATATGGCCAAAAAACGAAACTAACGAATCATATAAAGGGTGTCACTTTTCATACTGACTAAGCACTTTTTTACAACAAAGCGAGTTATCAAAAACAGTTAAATTATAGCCCCTTTTATTTTTTTAAAGAATCAATTTTAATTTTTTAATACTTTTTACTACCGCAGATATACACGTTATCCCAATATTTTCAGTCTAAGTACTATCACCCAATTGTTTTTTTTTTAAATCCCATAGTGAAACACCTTGTATTTATTTTATTTACATTAAAGTCTTTTTCTTACGCCGTGTTTATAAAAGCCAAGCAATTTGATCAACAATGAAATTTATTTATCTCATTCAACGTATTTTCTTTGTAGTTAAGCCGAGAAGGAATCATAGCAGGTGAAACGTTTTTTTCTTGGAATAAGTAATGGTTAACAAATAAGTAATTATATATGTATTAGAATGTGATTATTACCAAAGTGTGTTATTTTGGTACTGGAATACTGGCCGCTAACAAGGTATGGGATTTACTAACCGATGCGCTCCTTCGTAAAATCTTTTTGGCTTTAACAAGGTCAGTTTCTTATAATATAAGTGTCCAGAGAAAAATTAGGATATAATTAACAAGTTAGTTTGAGAAAGGAAGGAACAAAAGTCATTCAGTCATTCAAATAGTTTTAAATTGTCATAAATCTTACTGGAAAACCAATGAGTTACTTTACTGAACACGCTAGCAAATTTAGGAGATAAAAGTTTCAAAATGTCGTACATTTTATTTGTATGTTTAGTTGCGCAGATACCGTAAATATTCTTGAATTAGTTGTTGCAAACATGTTTCTGCGTTGAGAAAGTAGTATTGATTTTCTGGAAGCTGGATAATTTCATATTTAACAAGTGTGACATATTAGGGGTATTCACGATCTTCGTGTTAACCCTGTTAACTCTCTTAAGTCGTGTTAGATTGAGAAAAATGTGTGGTGATTAGTGAACGTTAGTCGATAATTAATCAGAAATCGTGAGATACGGTCTGGTGTGATGTAGGTTTCAGAAAAACATTTTCTTCATCGTGCCAACGTTTAGATCTTTATTGAGATCATCTTCAGGGCCTGGAATTTACAAACATTGTTTAAATTTAACAAATACATGTAGGATGTGGAAAAAAATGAATTTTTACAATGCAAAAAATATATTTTTTATATTCAATCAAAGATATTCAACAGAAGATGATCTCAATAAAGATCGAAACGTGGCACGATAAAGAAGATGTTTTTCTGAAACCTACATCACACCAGACCGCATCTCAGGATTTATGAATAATCATTGAGAAAAATGATGACGTAGACTTGTAAGAATCAGCTAGTTAACATCGCTCCGTCTAACAGGGTAGGGCCAATTTTAGATGTTAAGTGTAGTCACATCGCTAGCCGTTAGGGTGTAAATAACCAACATGGCGGCCATGAATTTAACAGCTGTTTTTCGTTTACACGTATTTTTATTCTTAAATACGCATTAATTAAATCAGACCAATACATTACTTTGGTTAATTTCTGATCTTCCTTATACTCTCATTCATAGTAGACACATCCCCAATCCTACACAGTAGTAGGCTGTTAGACGTTAGGATACAAGTTAGGTATGTCGACATTGAAGCGTGTCATTGTCCGAGTGCACAGATAGCATTTTGAACGAAAGAGTTGTTTAATTTTCCTTTTTTACTAACTTTTGGCATCTTACAATTTATCACAAAACAAAACCGTATGAAACAACAACAAGCCTTCAAGGACTGTTATAGCTTTATTTTTCGTTCTACCAGTCGCAGCATTGCGGAAAAATTAAAGTATAACATGCTAAGAAAAGAAGTTCACGTTCTTCCTGGACATTTCCCTATTCGAGTTAACACGAGTTAACATCTAACAAACATTGTGAATACCCCTACTGTTTAGAAAGTGTAATAAACTTTTGTAGGTATCGTGTGTGGGAGGATTTGGGTTATCGTCGATTTAAAAGGGATTTATCCAAACTTACACTGCTATAAAAAGTCCTCTGGTATATTCTTGAATGTGGTCTTGAAGATTGACTGCGCAGATCCCGACGCCTTTAAATATCACCATGAATTTCTGTAAAAAAAGAAAAGAAAACGAAATAAGCTACGAGTTCTAAAAGGTTATGAAATATTAAAAACAATATTTTACATATTTATGTAGATCGGGTGTAAATGTTTATGAATTGCCAGATTACCACGTTTTTTCCCCTGGTGAGAAATGCAATTAGCAGACAGGGCGGTGGTTGTGTACTTTGAACAGCCCGTTTGTTGAATTGATTTATGAGGTCGACTAAATAACGCGATCAGATTCTCTCTCGGCCTATTTTATTATTCATATCCGTCCTGTCATGTCACGCCGGAAAATGCACAGTGGCAAATCCGCCTTGTCATGTGCAACCTACACGCTATAACATTAATTCCTTCTGAAATGGAATCGTGTACGCCTGTCTACAAATGATAATACTCCCTTGTTGAGTAATATCCACATTTACACCCGTCAAACGGCAATTTCACAAATTCGATAGAAATTTTGTTGTCGTGTTGTTAGCCCTCTGAACCGTTTTGTTGTTACCGGTCGGCGAGTTAGTCATTATCTAAACGCGTGTGCGCAGTGCCGATGAGATTTCCTTGCCGTTAAATTCCGTTTTGCCTAGCTTAAATAATCGCCATCATTCGGTACTAAGGTACCGCGAATGTTGGGCCCTAGTGAGTCGACAAAAGAGGAGGACAACTGTTATTGAATTCGGTGGGGAAGGACCGAGAAGCATTGCGGTGAGTGAAAAAATATACTTTTAACCCAATCCACTCACCAAATAAACTCTCTTTTATTTTTTTTTAACGTACAGTCGACATTAGCCAACATGTTTTATTAAGTAGTTTCCCGTTTGTTCACTATAACATAATTCCAGAGATACGGCGGATTTAACAACAGATTAAACCTGTCGAAGATTAATTTCATACAATTTTTTGTAATAAAGAAGGAAAAGTGTTTGCTGTTAACTGGATTAACATTTCAGTTTTTTTGTTGAGTTTAAATCATTATTTTTAAAAGTTTTATTGGAGTAGAAAACGTGCTAATTGGAGATTTTTGTTAATTTAACAAAAATATTGCAAAAAGTTTAATTTTGGATTAAAGACGTGAAAAAGTCTATTAAATTAAAATAAATTAAAATTGTTGAAAATTAAATTATAATTATTTTGATTAGTTATCAGTTTTTATGATTTTTTCCAATTTTTCCTCCTGCTCCAACTGAAGTATCGACACTTTTACCGCATAGATCAATAAAGTGTTTCGTAACCGGAATGCAATTGGATTCTTAATTATGATTATTTTCAAATAAATTTTTACCTTTAGCACCCAGCTAATTTAAATACGCATTCATCTCCGAGAAGATAACTATCTGTAAATAAATTTTCATATTACGTATGATTGGTGCTTTTGTTGATTTTAAATTAAATTCATTAATAAATTCGCTTATCTATTTATCTAGCTCAAGAGGTAGAGGACCGGGGATAAAGTTGTGGGTTCGAGTCCCGCTCGTGACACTAATTTTTGTGCTCAACCTTCATTGCATAACAAGGTTAAATGTCAACATTATTTTAGTTCGAAAAAATTAACATTAGTTTATATTTCATAAACTGTAAAGTTCATTCTAGTTGTAATGATTGTAAAATAACTAATGTTTTGAATGGCAGAATGATTTTTTTTCACTCACAGCAGCATCCCTGCAGTGGGGAGTACATTTCTAAATATTCCCTTTTAAGATATATATTTTACAAGAAAATTCATTAATAAATACATCCCGCTCGTTACACTTTTTCATTTCAACCAAGATCGTACATAAAAAGATCAATTAAATGAAAGAAAAAATACATAGTTAAATGTTTTAGAAAATGTGTGGTTTTTAGTGACCGTTACTTATTGATTATTCGGAGATTGTGCGATGCGGTCTGGTGTGACGTACGTTTTAGAAAAATATTTTCTTTATCGTGCCAACGTTTCGATCTTTATTGAGATCATCTTCAGGGCTCAAAGTGTTTGTTTGCCGTGTTGATGTATCAATCTTGTCTGTCGTGTTGAGAGTCACAATAATGACACACCTACACTGAGAGCAAACACTTTGAGCTCTGAAGAAGATCTCAATTAAGTTCGAAACGTTGGAACGATAAAGAAAATGTTTATCTACAACCAAAGTCAGACCAGACCCCGTCTCACGATCTCCAAATAATCATCGTTTTATAAAATATTTTTTTAAATTATAAATTTATAGATTTTATGAAATTGCTGAATTATTTCATAGACATATGTTTGTGGCCATTCGAAACCCTCCAGAAGTGAACTCAAGCTTTACCCTATGTGGCTCAAACGGTTTGCATTCGAAGATTATATGATCATAGACTGTGCAGTGAGATAATTCCAAGTGCCACGCCAGCTGTTGGCTATCCCATTCGATACAGGTACAAATTGTTTTTCCATGTCCGCTCAAAGCCTGGCTAAGTGAAAATGGTGTTTAATTTGTATCTGAATTCTACTGCTCACCGTTGGAAAATACTCCTTTGTTATGAAAAATTTGAACAGCTTGAAAAAACTCAACTTTTTTCATTAGAAAGTTATTTGCCCTTCCCAAAACTACCCCGAATTTTATGATTTATTTAGGGACTAAAGTTGACCCGTTATTTTTAAATACCTTCAAACTTCATTTTAATTACATTTTTAAACTCTTGAAACATCCTGATTACCGTCTTTCCAAAACAGCCCTGGAAGTCGTTAGTCGTGGTGCATTGTGGTTTGAACGTTGGAATAGCATGTGTAGGGATCTATCATGTGACTCGTAATTTTCTATAAATAACTTGAATGAGTGGCCTTTGCAGTTTAAAGAAATTATATCAAAACTGAGTGTCAATTCCAGTGAAGAACTTTATAAGGAACTTTACCAAGATGATTATAATATGTTTAACCTATCTAAGGACAGGTCTAAAGGTTTGCCATTGGTCGAGTTAAGGTGGTTATTCAAAATCAGAGGGGACCTCCTTTATCTCAATGGTGCACCTTTTCGGGCTAGAGAAAATGTAATTTGTTCATTATGCAGGTTAAAGAAGACATAGTGCATTTTATTGAAAAATGCACTATCCTATCGGAGATTCGGTTTCTGCATCTAAATTTTCTAAATTGAATGTGACACAGGTTATTGACTTACTGCTTAATGATTACAAACATTTAATCAAATATGCTCGCCACGCCTGGCACTATCGCCAAGAGTTAATATTAGAATTTAATTTTTGAATATTTTAAAGTCTTGTCATTCTAAATTGCTGGCCCAAATAATTTATATATCTATACTTATTGTAAAATACACAAAGAACAAAAATTATTGTTTATAATGCATGTTAGTAATTAATGTAATTATTAAAAATTAAATTATCAATTGTAATATTTATTTAAGGATCAATTTTTTAATTTTTTAATTTTTTACTTTTTTCTCTGTGCCGACTAAAAATTCAAGTCAAATGAAAATCGACCTCCGGCAGACGGACCCTCCATGCCGTAATTTTACTTTAAATTATATATTATGTGATGTTTATAACTTTTCTTTTTTACAATAAAGTATTATTATTATTATTATATTATTACTCCTTTGTTATTAACAGTACTGCTCCTTTCTTTTTCACATTTTTGTAATGTCTTTTCTTTGCTTATACCTTTTATATAGCTAATGGGAAATAATGAATAATAAATTTTCGTTCTGGAATGCTTCTTTGGTAAGTTTGTCTACTTTATCATTCCTTGTAACACCAACATACGATTAACAATTTTCTCTATTGTCAAATCCCTTAAATTTTTCCTTATTTCTTCTCCTAACAATTGTGCAAGGTAAGGGTTTTTAATTATCATGATAGAACTTTTGCTGTCAACCTATAACGGCTGATCTACTTTTTCCAATGGTGCTCTTCTCGCTAACAATACCTTAAATATGGCAAAATACCAGTCTAACTGTTTAACATTATGTGGCAGGATTCACATTTTCTCTTTTCATGGAATATTGTTTTAAGAATAAAGTGAATGCAATATGCAACAAAAGCACCTATAATACTTATAAAACGTTATTTCATACACTTACTTCTCGGAGTTGGATACAGATATAAATTAGAATGGTGCTTAAAATATTTATTTTAACTTGTATCAGATTTTGCCATTTGATACTACTACTTTTTTTACTCTTTCGCTCTTTTTAGTGAAGTTTTACGAAGAGAAATAGGTGTAAAGGCTTGGAAGAAAGTATGGGATACGTTTAATATTGAAAAAGAGCCTTGATTCTGCCCCAACAGTGGAGGAATTTAGAAAGTAGCCAAAATAAACGAAAAGTGAGCTTGACAGATTAGTTTGCGCGCTACATTCAAGATTCCTTTACACATTACTGTACAAATGGAACCCCCTCGAATATTGGGAAGGTAAGAAAAATAACTGCCCTGAATTCGTTCTATAAAACATCAAGACAAAATTAGTTTAATTTTTTATTTGTAAATGAAGAACAGTCTATTTTTATTCAACTCATATCACTGGCACTGTAATTTTACATTTTTGGAAAATTAGATGCTTACCAAGCTATATGAAATATTTTGAATTAAAAGTAAGAAGTGAATTTCAGGTTGGGGAGAGCTTTAGTCGAAGTTAGTAAGAGAGGGTTATACGCGTTTGCTGTCTAGGGTCGTAAAATGCACTAGATCAAGAATTATTAATGCTGGACGTCTACAATTTATCAGAAAGCGTCATCCTGGACAAATCATGAATAAATTGCGACGTTTATTTACTCGAGCGCGTCCTGAAGTGTAGGAACTCCATATTTTGCGTGGTATTTTCACATCAATTGAAAAATGGCATACATAATAGTTGAGTAAATTACTAGGTTAAATATTAGACTGAAATACCCAGGAATGACACAATTTTTGTCACATTGTCTTAGGGACTTTTCCATATCTATTTTACGTAATAACCCAGAACCAGCAGATCTCAGTGGAAGATTTCATTTCGTGGATATTGTAACATCATCCGTGCCTTTAACAAGCAGTTCAGAT